ACCGTCTAATAGCATGTGTAAGTGGAGCGGTCGAACAGGGCCCCAAAATATAAAAATAAAAAAATAAGAAAAAAATAAGGAAAAATTAAGAATTTTTGAGAAGTATATAGATAAAATTATGATATGTTTTTAAAATATTTTGGTTCTTATGAAAATATACAACCTTTCAACAATTTTTTTTTCTTTTGAAAATACACAATTATTTTTATAATGAAAGATGCAACTTTTAAACTAATATATTTCAGTTTATTATGAAAAGATACAATTTTTCAAATATTCTTTTGTTTTTCATGCAATTGTCCTAAGAAATGTTTTTTAGACATAATATATTTATGGCATTAGCATATATTTTTTCAAACAACATATCTTTTTACATGAAAGAGTCATAAGTTTTCATATTTGAAGGATTACAATCTTTCGTTATAATTTTTTTTTTCTTCTATTGGTCTTAATAATTTTTGTATACTTAAATTAAAATTGCTATGAGCAGTTATTTTTTTCAAACAACACAGCTCTTTAATTTGAAGAGTCATACTTTCCCCTAATTCTTGATTTTTAAAAAAAAATTTGAAGAGTTTCAATCTGGTGGTTGTAATTGTTATGGTCCATCTAAGGGTTCTGAAAATGTATTTGGTTGAACTTTTTTTTTCCTCGCAACTCTTGAAAATATTCATTTTAAAACAAAACACAACTCTTGATAATCTATCAATGTACCTTTTCATAAATAGAACATTTTACAGATGTAATTTTTAAAGAAAATTTATGTGTTTTTTTCTAATATAGGTATGATTCTTAGTACTCTTGAATGTAATGTTTGATTCATTATATAGTTCTAAACGATATTTAAAAATTTAATGTGATGTCTGCAAAAAATAAATTAATAGGTTTAGTTTCAGTGAAACTAAACTACCATATCCAAACCAATATGACTATAAGAAAACAACCTTTTTTTTTGGTAATCTTTTATTCTTCTTCTGATAAAGTAAATTTTTTTTTATATTTTTCTTACCCAGTTTGTCTGGAGTTACTGAGTCTCATTGTTTTAAAAAATGTCGTTCTTTGTATGTTAATTACAGTGTTTTAAAACATATTATATTATTTAATCTTAAAAGTTATAAACTGTTCCATCAGTTCAACAAATTTTAAAAGTTTGTTTTCTCATATATAAAAAGATAAAACAAAATGACTGCGACTTTAATATTAAAGTTTACTTAATATTGTTATGCTAAACACATAGTACTTAAGTTTACACATTTTCAAACACAAATTATACTTTCACTCATTTATTATATATAGATTATTTTTAAGTTTTGATCTTCATACAAAATAATTAGTTTACTAAATGATTCAAAATGATTAATTAACAAATATAATTTACATAAAAAAACATCCTTTCTCCTGCGCGTTTACGCGTGGGGTGGTTTCTTAGTATAGATAAAATTATGATATTTTAAAAACAAATTTAGATATATTGCTAAATTAAAACTTATAGTTTTAAGGAAACATCAAACATAGTTATTAACTTTTAAAAAAAAATTATTAAATCATAAATATATCATTTTTTTTTTTTGAACAGGATCTAAAATTTATTTGAGACGGTCCTGATCAATAGGGCCGGTATTAGGCCTAGTATCATCACAAGATATCATAATCACCTCCCAACAACAATATTCAGTCATGTACAGGAATTGCAAGAGATCATCTTGTAGGAAATTATAAATGTACAGAGACACAATAGCGTGATTCGATTATACAAAATAAAAATCAAAGAATATGTCGGGAATTAATTTATATATGCAAATAGCCAAATAGATTAGGGATATGGACATATTGATACCACAGACTTGAGAGGAGCTGACAAGGATCTTGACGTGCATGTGCATGTCGCGTGCAACACTGATGAAGTGAAACGGTAAAAAAATATATTTGTTTCCTTATTTACTATTTCCCCTGCTCGATTTGATCTTCAATTATGTAATAATGTAATGTAATCTATCACACAAATTTCAGTTTCATTACATTTTAATGCAATGAATTATATACAAAACTTTTTTTCAGTTCAAAAAATATATATAAATAAAATTTAGAAACTACATGATCAAATAACATTTACGAAAACTAATATATCAATTTGAGAAATTACAAGTTTTGATCCAGAACCTCCTCATAATTAAATAAAATTTCGAAAAGTTTGCATATGTTCAAGGTTTTGTACTCGTTTAGGAAATGTAATGGCTAAGGATCATTTGTGATCAGAAAAAAAAACTCACTATTATTATATCTTAAAAATGCAAACCTAATGTTTAAGTCCAAAGAATTGTTAATTAGGAACAGAAAGAATGTTCGTACAAGTGATATTAATTATAGAAATGGCAGTGGAGAGTAGGAAGGAAATGTCTCATTCCAGTATGTCCCATCCAACGTGGCAGAGAAATAAACACAAAATAAATTTAATTAATCGTATGAAAAGAAAAATCAAAGTGAGAAAAGGCAAAAGTGTCAGCCTTTCGTCCAATCTTTTGGGTTAAACTTCCAGCCTTCCCCGTCCCTCATTTATTTCATTGCGTGCTTCTTCTCATTTCTTCTTTTTTTTTTTTAATTTTTATTTATATATTATTTTCAATCTTTGTTGTTTAATAAATCAATCACTGTTATTTTTTTCCTTTTTGACTGAATCAATGTTGTTTACTTATAAAATTAGTGTTCGTGTCATCTAGTTAATATTAGAATCAGCTTGATCTTTTCTGGTTATTCCTACTAGATCATGTTACATCTACGTGTGTTGATGTTGCTGTCCTGTAACTATTCATCATCGCATCATATAAACTACTCCTATAAAGCACAATAAATTTTATAGTTACTAGAACTTTAAATGCCAGCTACAGATCCTAAAAACAATCTAAATTTTGATAGTTGAATCCATCAAACAAATAAAACCTTTTATTGAGGTTAAAATTGATTTACGTTAATGATTGATTGTAATGTTTAGTCAAGTTACATGTATCATAATAATTGAAAAGACTTGTCATAAGAAAGTAACTAATAATATATTTAGTGCAAACAGATACGTATGGGATCGCTATGTGTTATCCAGATAAAAAGCACATCCATCTCATTTGTCCTTATTGCCGACTACTCTTCCTCTACCAGCTCCTAATTATTATTTTTTTTAAACGTTTGACACTGTTTATTTTGATTACTTATAATTTCTGTATTTGTATTAAATTGATTTGACTTGGATAGAACAACTTTTCCATGCAAATTTAAACACAAAAGACAAGTTAAAAATCCAATGAACGAAACTGGCATCATTATGGTTTTGTTCAAGTTCAATAGTGTGCAATGCATGAATTAGTTATAAACAATTCAAAAGGAATGAACCATTCAAGAACATTTATAAAAGCCAATTTGATACATATACCAAACGAAAAACAGTTTATATCTTGAACTTTGAAAGCATCTTTCCCTTGGTAGAATTATGCATGTAAAATTTTATATTAAAGAAGTATGTAAATGCACATCTCATGCGATAAGATGCTTTGTATTTATGGTACGAAAAGAAATAAGGAAGTGAGCAATAAAGTCTCCAATCCAATGATAGATGCTCAAATTATATACAAGCACTCCCATACATTTATAATACTACAGAAAAGGAGAGAAGGAGAATCCTTTCACTTGAAGGGTCAAGGAGAGATCGTTTGCAGCATTTCCATTTTGGTAAATCCAATAAGTGAAAAAGTGTAATAATTAGCAACTTGGGAGTTAGCTTTTCGATTTTGCAAGCAAAGCTACTTCTCTTTTCTTTTATTTTGTACATCCCTAGATATTCACAATCCCTCTTCTGATATCCTTTCAGTACGTAGAAGTTATAAATATAATTATTTACTCAATACTTCATAGATTTTTTTTGGGTCAAAACAATATTTCATGGATATAAAATTTGTAAAATACAAAATAACTTTAAAATATTAAAAATTAATTGTATTATAAAACAGAGATAATATGATTTTTGTTGGCACAGATGATAGTATAATTTAGTTATATTATTTTAAAGTAAATTATAATCTTTTTCCTTGCTGTTTTAATTTCTTTTAAATCTCGTAATTTGGCATTCTCGGCATCAGAATCCCAATGAGAATTCCCATTTTACGCACCTAAATTTTGGAACCTATGAGCATAATTCCTGCAAACGCATCAATTAACACAGTGGGCCATGTTCACGATCCACCGCACAAATATAAATATACACACATACATAAGTATATAATATCCTGTCGACGAAGACGTGTGAATGCAGAAAATATAATTTACTGTTTAATGTATGTTTGTTTTTATCTAACTAGTATCTATCGTTTGTGTGGAAATCAATTCATTTATTTTATTTAGTACACGTCTATAAATGAAAGAGTCTTGTCTGCAGAGATATAAATCCAAGAGGGAGGGAGCTAAATTTATACTCCATATTAACCGAAACCGTCTTAGTTTTTTACATTTTATAGTGTAAAGTTGAACTGAAACAAGAGATAAGATGAGAAGCTCATCATAGTAAAAATATTAGAGTATGTTACAGTGTTTATGATTAGTAAACTAATGTGACGTTGGAAACTAAATTACCATCAAAAACATTTGAACAGGTGAGTTTGTGCATTTCTTAACTCAAAATATTTATGTTACGTGAGACTAAATTAATAAAACTAAACCTTAAAACTATAAATAACCCTAAAACCGGCTTGAGGATTCTCATGGACCCTTAAATTGCTTGGTCGGTCCATCTCAACTTCTATCCACAGATTTATGCTATATATATGATATGCGTGTAGACACATATGCTAAAGCTAGTGTTGATTATATTTATAAAATAATATTATAATAATACAAGCAATATACCTTCAGGTCAAGAGAAATGATATTTATTATTACCCATTGAAAAAGACTCATTTGATCGAGAGAGAAAAAGAATCTATCATATGAACCAAAAAAGCATCTTTCTATCTTTTCAAATGTTTGCTTCTTTCAAATCCTCTAGCTCCTCCTCCGAAGATGCCACCACCGATCATCCTCCTCCTCTTCCTCCTCCGCTATGCCTCGCCTCATCATCTGCCGCAACGTCCGCCGCTCATCACCTCCGTCGTCTACTATTCACAGCTGCAGATTTCATCTCTCAGTCCAACGTCTCAGCCGCTCAGAACATACTCCCAATCCTCTCCTCAAACTCTTCCCCTCACGGCGACTCCACGGAGCGGCTCGTCCATCTCTTCACCAAAGCCTTGTCCGTACGGTGCGGCTTGTCTGAAAACGTTGCCACGTGGACAACGAACGAAATGACTACTAGTAGCTCCACGGTTTTTACAAGCAGTGTATGCAAAGAGCAGTTCTTGTTTCGGACCAAGAAGAACAACAACAACAACTCTGATCTCGAGTCTTGTTACTATCTTTGGCTGAACCAACTAACGCCGTTTATTCGGTTTAGTCATTTAACGGCGAACCAAGCCATCCTCGACGCAACGGAGACAAACGGAGGTTTACATATACTAGACTTAGATATATCGCAAGGACTTCAATGGCCTCCGTTAATGCAAGCCCTAGCCGAGAGATCATCATCAAACCCTAGCAGCAATACTCCACCTCCATCTCTCCGCATAACCGGATGTGGTCGAGACGTAACCGTATTAAACCGAACCGGAGACCGGTTAACCCGGTTTGCAAACTCTCTAGGTCTTCAGTTTCAGTTTCACACGCTTGTGGTCGTTGAAGAAGATCTCGCCGGTCTCTTGCTACAGATCAGATTGTTAGCTCTCTCCTGCGTACAAGGAGAGACCATCGCCGTCAACTGCGTTCACTTCCTTCATAAAATCTTTAACGACGAGGGAGACATGATCAGTCACTTCTTGTCGGCGATCAAGAGCTTAAACCCTAGAATCGTGACAATGGCCGAGAGAGAAGCGAACCATGGAGATCCTTCGTTCTTGAACAGATTCTCAGAGGCTTTAGATCATTACATGGCGATATTCGATTCGCTGGAAGCGACTTTGCCGCCGAATAGTAGGGAGAGGCTAACCCTAGAGCAACGGTGGTTCGGTAAGGAGATTTTGGATGTTGTGGCGGCGGAAGCGGAGGAGAGAAAGCAAAGACATCGGAGGTTTGAGGTTTGGGAAGAGATGATGAAGAGACATGGCTTTGTGAACGTGCCGATAGGAAGCTTTGCTTTCTCTCAGGCTAAGCTTCTTCTTAGACTCCATTATCCTTCGGAAGGTTATAATCTTCAGTTTCTCAACGATTCTTTGTTTCTTGGCTGGAAAAATCGTCTTCTCTTCTCCGTTTCATCGTGGAAGTGAGTTAGTAGAGAGGGAGAAGAAACCTAAACTTAGGTTTAGTAGAGAAAAAAATATCGATAATTTTTGGTGTTAGGGCAAACAAAAAAATGATTTTACAGATGACGTCGGAGCAAGGTGGCTCCGGCGAAGAGTGTCGACGGCAGAGGAATCTTGGGATGTGTGTCGTTTTTTTGTTTCTTGGGAAGCTCAAACAAAGAGACAACCTAATCTTTTGTGTTCAACCTACTAATATCTAATTTTTCAAACTCAATCTTAGGTGTATCGTTTTAACATATATAATCCCATTTTGTCTCTTTTCTTTTTCATTTTATTTGATTAATTAGTCGATCCACTCATGTTTTAGTTGCATTTTAAGATTTATTATATGCATCCACTGATCAGATTTAAATGTATTTTACATTTTCTACATTAATATATGATGATGATAAGTTTTTATGGTATTGTTGAAAAGAAAGTTTGTGAGGGTAGGTGAGAGTTATATTAACTAATTGGTTGAAATTGTCCGATTTAAATTAGTCACGTCATAGTTATAAATTTAAAGAGCTTAAAATTTGTGGAAATGGCCTTCTATTTGGACTCAACCGGTTTAATAATATAATCAGCACGAAAGAGTTGTTAATCTGTCTCTTCAATCTTTTGAGAGATTCCACTTTCGCATGCTCTTTTTAATTTGTTTTCTAATTATTTTAGATTTATATGACCGCCCTCTTTGTTGCACAAGTCTACTGCCTCAGCTTTTTAATAAAGTTTTCGATTAGAATGGAACATTGTAGCTTTTACGATCCCTTTGGTCAATCCAAACGATCAAAATACACAACAACTTTCTTTTTTTTTATCACTAATCCATCATGCCTCCGAAAAGAACTCTAAATCAATTTTGAAATAGTTGACCATTACTAGTTGACTTTAATATATTAGTATATCAAGATCATTTCAATAACCAACGGTGTATTGTGCCAGTGGTCTATGGTCTAGTGTTTAGAGTTGATTCTATTTATTACGTCTCTAAACCGATTTCGGTTGGGTGAAATAATTTACGAAATGTTGCCAGTATTAGAACTGCTGGTCCCGGACATAGAGAAAAATAGGGTAATTCCTCCAAATTTACAAAACAGTTCGTACCAATACACGGCTCCTTAGTCAAGAGTCAAAATGTTTTCGTTAAAAATCTTCAAATCTTTCTTATTTTCCAGAATTTTCATATATTTCAATCTTTGATCAACAAGATTCATTTTTGGTATCCAATTTATCTCCAATAATGATTTTTTTTTTGTTGAAACTATTTTTGGAGAAGGTTCTTAAGCCGATATTGCTCTTGGTCTAAAAGAGAGACCACTAGATCAGTAAGTATAATCTTAATTAGTCCAGGTTAAAAAAGTCATGCTTCTTATATATGGTTTCAGTTTTTGATTTGAACGTATTTACAAATATATTTGAAAACATTTCTATGTTTTGTTGATTTAGCAACATCTTATTAATAAAGATGAAACCAAAACACAGAATCTTACCAATTAAAGATAGATATAAATATATAAATAAATTTTTAAATGCTGGACTATATATTCATTAAATGTAGTTTTATCACTAGTTGTAAGTCATATGAAAGACTAACTCTCTTTTACGTCGACGAAAGCCTATATCTGACCAAACTAAAGTTAATCTAACTAATACTATCTACCACTAAATAGTATCATAATCCTTACTTGGACAACTAAGAAACCACCATTTGGATGCCAAAAGAGAAGCGATTTGTTTTATTAATTACTAGAGTTAGTGTCGACAAAAGAAATCTTAGAGGAATAATCAAACAGCCACTGGTTTCCTCTTGTTTCCCAGTTCTTTTTCATTGTCGAGTTTTAAAATGATGCGTTTTCGTTAATTCCAAGAAAGGTACTGATCGCTTATTTATAATCAAAGTTATTAATACTCCCTACTTTTATTTTATTGGAGAGAGTAGATTAATGGGGTAAAAAAGGGATGTGTCTTTGGGGAAGAAACAGGTAATGAAAACCCTAAAAGGTGCCGATTTGTCGGGTGAAACAAAAGCATCAAAGTTGTCAAAAATAAAACAAAAGGGTGTGTTTATTTATACTTATGTTAGATGCTGTACTAAATTTAATTCGTATGCAAATGTGTTTCTGTTTAGTAATTAATCATGCTAATAATTTTTAGTTAATGAAACACAAACACACAAGTCGTAGTTCATTGGTATCTCTTTCGTCTCTTGTGTCTTGTTGCCTCCCATGTCTTCCCCTTTTTCATACTATTTTGTTCACTCTTTGCCCTAGCGCATTTGTTGATTTATAAATATATATATATATATATATATATATATATATATTTGACTAAGACACTACACATATTTATACACCTGCACACGCGTCTAGGTATGTCTGAAATCAAAATGCAGTGATCGGATTTTATATTCGATCTTTATGATCAACGATTCATCAACCATATACACGAACACGAGTCCTGCACCATGGTACATAACGAATAGATGAGAACTTTTTTAATCGAGTAATTTCTACCGGCATTTCCCTATACAGTATACAGCTCTACTATGCTTATATACAGATTCGTTATTAATATCTATTTTTACTGATTAGTTAGTACATGTTCCAAGGTACATATCTACATTACAAATTATAAGGAGTATCTTTTTTTGAAAAAAACAACCAGTTATTTCATAAAGTCTACTATATGCTAATATAGGAGAAGACATTAGTGACAATGTTAAATATACACATACAGTATATAATAAGGAATTGATAACACATGTATCTTTATATTGACTGTGAACGATACATTATTATCCCCACACAGCCACACTTTTTCTCAGATAGTTTATCAAACATCAAATAATTATGACAAGACGGTGAAATTTAATATGAAATGAAGATGACGTGCGTCGTCATGAGCTGAAAGACAATTTTGCGTGTGGATAGAAACCAAAACTTCACCCAGCAAATTAAGTTGCATATAAATAAATAAAAATTTGTAAATATTCAGAAATTAAAAAAAGTTGTATATTCCAAAGAAAAAAGGAAGAGAAAATGGATCTAGGGTTTTAGGTGAAAAAATATATTTCATATGCCTACTGACAGAAGCAATCCCTCATGCTCTTCTACGCACACACCCACTCTCTTTTTACTTCCATCCATCAATCTCAGTTTTCTTTCTTGACTTTTTACCTTTTCTATTCATATCAATTTTCGAATTTTATATTAGAGATAATTTAGCAAATAACCAAAATCTCAATAAAATGTAAGAATAAAATTACATCTGATAGCATTTTGTCTTGTTCTTTCCAGTTTTATCCTCCTTTCTAGCCGTTTGACGGTAGACAAATATTACATATAAATGATAAATCAGTAAGATAAAAAATTAATGAAGTTTTGGGATTGCTATAAAAAATAATGCGACGGTGGTTGTTATCGCAATAGGGGTGAAGGTGAATGTCGTAAAGTTGGTGGTGGTTACGGAAGAAGCAGTGGGGAATTTGGAATATGTAACAAAGGTTGCAGATCTGGTGATGTTCGTAGTAACCATGATAATTGTGACTACGACAGTGATGGCTAAAGAAGAAACAGTGATCATAGATAGAGAATAAATCGTATCATAGTTTACAAAATGATATGGAACATGTTAAATGCTCGAATCTACAACTGCTTGAATGATTATATGTATCTTTCAAAATATTAAACAACATATATAAAAACTATAAGCATGCGACTATAAGAGAGCATACAAATATCTGCCACAAAATTGAAAAATATGGCTAACTACATATGTGTATTCAGATCACAAGAAATTTGTATTTGTATTTTTTTAAGATTCTATGTGAATATTTAAGAGATGTGATGTTTTGTTGGAAAATAAAATATGACTTGCTAGGATACATATTAGAACATTGTAATGAATTAAAGAAATCCAGTTAACGAATAAAGAATTGTAAAGGAGAAGACAACACTCTGGTTTTCGGGTGTTCGGTTTGGGAGACCGACACGTGATGTTAATTCAGGTTACATTTGTCGTTAATTTGCAGATAACTGAATGCAGCTTCTTTGATTTAATTAAAACAGAAAATGGTTATCTTGTTCTCTTATTAATTAACCAACTAATCAGTTTGACTATTTAATCAATTATAAGTCAAATCTAAAAACACTCACCAGATTTTAAGTGAATGCTGCCATGAGTGCCATCTGTAATAGCTTCCAATAGTGATTCAGAAAACAAAATACAGATTAAATAAATAATGAAGATAAAAAAAAAAAAATGTAGATCAAATAATAAGTTATGAAGAACAAATGTATATCTAACTGATCAACTACTTTATCGAATCATCGTTTTGACTGAATGTTGAAAAATTTAAAATTACGTAACTTAAATATATAAAACAAAATACAACTTTTTATTAAATGTAAATACAATTATCTGTATGTGTTATAATATATTTGTCGACAAAAAATATTTTTTTTATTGAATGTTATTGAACATTAAACTATACATATCCATAACTAATAATTGCATATAGTAAAACAATACACTTTAAAAAAACATGTATGAATACTTATTACTTATTGCAAAACATTATATAAAAATATGATTATGCAAATTAAATATATAAAATTTTCTATACATATATTATAGACGATATTAAGTAAAATATATTTGTAACTACCATGATTTTATAAAGGGACCCATTTTCTTTAATAACTAAAATCCGTTAGTGGGTCCATTTTCCTTTTTATCAAAGCCAAAATGAGACAAGAGAACATATACTTTGTAGAAGGATCCTGGTGGAAGGTGAGACCGTTTTGATCGATTAACTCCCATCCAAACCCACTTGCACTCGATGAACTGTTCCAAGCAGCCTCCACATAGCAATTAAATACATTTTCCGTTTGCTTTACTTGCGGTTATGACAATCTTTAGAAGAATTACAGCATGGATCAGAGGGTCCCGACCCTTGCCATTCACGAGCTAGCTTTAGAGTCTTTAGCGCAATCTATGTTTCAGAAAAAAAACTTATCTTCGAACACCAGTACATGCAACACTGTTTTGTGATCACCACACCTTTTACATGCGCCAAAGCATCATTTCTCACTTTCCAGAGGAAGTGTTTAAGCTTGGGAAAGCTTTTCACATACCAAACACAACTTTTCAAGTTGAATTCCTCCACAATAGAGTCATTGAGCTTTTTTTTTTCATTGAGCTTTGTGGTGGCGTAGTCCGATTTGGAACTATAATCACCCGATTTTCCATGAAGCCAGACTAGTTCATCTTTCATACCAGAAGAGCTTGGATTTAGCTTTCAGTTTTTCCTCATACTGAGGCATGAGTAATCTGATA